TCCTTGTGCAGGAGGAAGGCGGCCCCATAGTCCTTGTTCCAGCACTGGATGGTGACATTGGTCCCCATCTCCACACATTCCTCAGGGCTCAGGGAAATGCTGGGTGGGGGGAAACTGCGATCTGCATGAGGGAGGGGACAGCAGTGGGACACGGTCCTGTTGGGAGCAAGCAGAGCCATTTGCTGTCCCCAGTGCCCTCACCTGTCAGCACCAGCTCCACAGCATCACTTCTCTCGGATACCATTGCTGACCAAGGCACTCGGTACTGACACCAATATGTACCTGCGTGCTCCCGATTTGTGCTCAAGAAGGAGAAGTCTGCAGTGTCCTGCACCTTGTACTTGTAATTGCTGTATGTCCAACGTCCTTTTTTGTACAGCCAGACCCTGGCAGCCGACTGGGGCAGGTGGCAGCGCAGGGTGACAGTGTCCCCCAGTGACACCCCCTGGCTGGGGTGCAGCGAAAGGGAGGGTCGGAGCACTAGGACAGGGGACAGCAGTCAGCCTTGTCCCTGCACACCTTCCTCTGCCCCTCTCATGGCCCCATGACCACGCTCTCCTCCCTTTCACCCCATTCTCCCCCTGTTCCCCATACTCACGATGCTGGGCCCTGCTCGCTGCCACCAGCCACCAACCTGCAAGAGACGTGGTCCTGGCTCCACACAGGGCCTCCAACCCCCATGGCACCACGTCCCCATTGTCACTCACCCAGGATGATGGCCAGTGCCATTGGTGTCATGAGGCAGGAGCAGCTTGGAGACAGTGAGACTGCAGTGGGGACAGGGAGTGGCGTTGTGCTGCTGCCAGTTCCTCTTTTGGGACAGGATGGTGTGATGTTGCCAACTGATGTGGCAATCATAGCCCAAACGGGAAGTGGCACGTTGGGGTCCCCAGAAATGTTGTACACATGGAGCTGTGCAAATAGTCCCCGCTGGTTTGTCCTTTGCAGTTTGTCCAGGCTTGGGTGTCACACACAAAGTTCTGTCAGCACGTAGTCCTGCACTTTTCCCCCCATGGAATGCCAAACACAGGACATGGCTCCAAAGGGGTGTCCCCCATGGGATGTCACATGTGGTCCCCAGCACTTCCAGCTGGCTGTCCCTACGCACTTCAGGTACCACACTCCGTCCCCACTGTGCTTTCCTCCACCATCCCCACTGGGGGCAGTAGCAGGGACCTTTGGGGATGCAGTGGCACCATGCAGGCATAGGATGTGCTATGGACACACAGGCACAGTGGAGCACACGTGTGGCACAGACATGGATCAACTCTAAGGAAATGTTTTGGCAGAGAAGGAGCACACGTGTTACACCAATGCAGTGCGTACCTGCTAAGGACACACTTGTGCATTGCTGTGGTCACACACAGGTTTACAGACATGACCTCACACACAGATACACAAAGGCATAGCGTTACACAAGCAGTACATCTGTGTGTACATCCAT